GATGCGGAGGTCCATATGGCAGAGGCGGGTCCAGTCTGGACTTCCCAGAGACCCTCACTTTGGGGCAACCTATTCCTCACCGCATCCCACACGCGTGCGGCCACCCCGAGGCGCGACCCAAAGTTTTGCGTGATGCTCAGCTCGTGCCCGCAGAAGCAGAACCGACTGTTCTCCGAGTAGGAGTCGGTGAAGAGCCCGATCTCCCGTGGGAACACCGAGTCGGGATCTGATTCTGGATCCAGGCGGGAGCTGGCCATGGGGCGGACAGAGCGCTGGGGCACCGCGGCCAGCGCTCTCGGATCCTGGTCCGTGGCAGAGAAGAGGTAAGAGACCGCTGGCTACACCAGCAGCTGCCTGGCACCGAGCCCCGCCTCCCGTGCTCGCCTCCTTCCTCCAGCTGCACTTCCTGGAGGTGGATGCAGGGGCTGATCCCGGAGCCTGGGTCCCGAGCGCACACCCCACAGGGCCCACGTAGGACCACCTCGTAGGGTCTCAAGCTGAGACCAGTAGAGAGAAAAACTGACGTCGGTTCCACTGTCGGCGGCGGCCCCCGAATCCTTCTCACCTGTGGGACGCACAGGTGCCGGTAGCCTGTTTGGATGCAGACTCGGCCGAAGCAAGCGGAGGAGGCGGGTGCCTGGGGCGGGCCTCGTTGCCGGGTAGGAGACAGGCAATGCCGAGCGTCTCTTCCCCACGCTCCCTTCGCGGTCCACCTCTCTCAGCTCCGCAGAATTAGCTCTTGGGCCTTTAAGGGGCGGGGCCTACTGGCAGCTCGCAGGTTGCGTCATCACCTTGAGCCCCGAGCCTTGGTTCTCCACGTGGATTCGGTGGGATCATGGCGGAAGCCGAGGCCCCACAGCCGCAGAAGCGCTACTACCGGCAGCGGGCCCACTCCAACCCCATGGCGGACCACACGCTGCGCTAGTGAGCGAACCGGGCGGGATGGGAGGGACGGCGGGAGCCTCCAGGCAGCCCGGGAGAGCAGCCATGCTGGGACCAGAGCTAGGAGACTGGACTTGGGCAGGGCAGGGCCGTCGGGGTGATGCGTCAATTGAGGGTGGGTCCGGGAGATTTGACCCTGGGAGGAGTTGACCATTGGGAGGGGTGTGGTGGTGTAGCCTAAGTCCCGGTAGCGGTGCCAAGTCTAAGACGAGAAAAATATATATTGCTGAAACGAAAATGAAGATACAGGTTGTCGTTTTCATCATTTTGTGTGATGGGTTAATAAAAAGATAAATATATGCACAACCCTGGCCACTCTTACTCCATCCTGCCACACACAAAACACATAAGCAAAGTCGTATCCCAAATGCCTTAGGCAGCCAGTCTCTAGGAGGAAGACAGCTTGTACCCCAGAAAGGAGAGCTACCGTCAGGGACACATCAACACTCAGAAATGGAGATTGGCAGACTAGCAAATATTGCCTCATGATGGGCCTGTGATTCACACCCTGGAAGCCAAGGGGCTTTCCGTTATTCCTCCTAGAGGCCACATGGCCTACTATTGGCAGAATCTTTGAGACACCCCCCCATCTACCTTCCACCCCTACACAAGCAGTAGCACTTTAACCTTCTCAAATGTCCCATCTTTTTCGCAATAGCCCTGTGAAGCCAGAGGAGATGGACTGGTCAGAGCTCTACCCAGAGTTCTTCGCTCCACTCACTCAAAATCAGAGCCACGATGATCCAAAGGATAAGAAAGAAAAGCCCGCTGGGGCCCAAGTGGAGTTTGCAGACATAGGCTGCGGCTATGGTGGTTTGTTAGGTAACATGCTGACCCTTTCTCTGGGACAAGGAGAGACCTGGGTTCTACCACCTCAGCAGGTTTAGTGGGGTGCCCTAGTTACCTTTTCTCCTAGGGCCAGACACCACTGACATCAGTGTAGAGAACCTACACCTTCTCTCTACTCTGGATCTGTGGACTTTGCCCTGGGGAGCGGGGGGGGGGGGGGGG